AGGACATTCAACCCTAACCCCTTCCCCACTCAGGGCAAGGCACACTCAGCTGGCTGCCGAGATCTCTGCCATCTCTTGCCAGACTCCCTATAGCCACGTCAGCCCCAGGAAAGCCAGTCTTCCTGAAGCTGGGATCCTGAAGGGTTAGAAACCCTCATTCCCTGGCTGTGACATGGCACACATAGGCCCAGGCACATACACCTGCACGGACACACACACACCTACAACACATCCCTGGTGCCTTGTAGCCCATGTTGAACAAAGCACAAATGTCTCCCTGGCCTGTACCTGGACTTAAGCCTACCTCATTGGCCTTTCACATAAACTGGCTTGCCCTCTGCTCCTCCAATGTGCTCAGAGAACCACCTCCAGGGTGCTACGCTCCTTTCATACCTACAGCTTAAAGCATGGCCTTTCTCTGGTGGTCTAAGCAGCCTTCCAGAAACATTAGCCTTGCCAAACTTTTCATTTTCCTGGTGCAATTTTCTTTCAGCAGCTCGGGCCTGAGAGCCCCAACAGTTTCACTAGATATCATCAGGCTGAGCGAAGAACCCTGCATCAAGTAGGTGGCGATGGGCATTTGTTTACTTCGTTTGATTTTTTTTTCTTTTAGTGAATTAAATTTGTTCTTGAGCATTTTCAAACGTGTACAAAACGCATTCCAATTGCTTCTTGCCCACCCTTGCCGTCCCCTCCCCCATCAAGCCCTTTCCCACACTCATGTCTTTGTTTCATTTTATGGCCCGCTGCATGTAATAAATAAAAAGGTAGATGTACAGTCTCAACCTGCTGTACTCTCCCCGCCCCAGCCCTGCACCCACAGGTGACCCTACTGGTGTCTTCCATCCATTCTCACAGTCCCCTGTCGCCAGCACCCGAGGACCGCCTACCTTCCTTAGGCAGCTTCATCAGTGCCATTTCATTCCAATCAAACACCCCCCCACCCTTCTCCATCAATTCATCAAGTCACCAAAAAGAAACCGAAATGGTCTCTCTCGTGTTTCTGGTGGATGTATAATGAGAGACTTTAGGTGAGTCCCGGGATCCCACCTGTCCCTTCAATGAGAACTTGTTACCCTCTCAGGAGCTGGCTTTCCCCACCTGCAGAGGGAAGGGTTGGGGTTACGGAAACAGCCAAAATAATCCAGGTACCTTCGGGATTTGATAGGAAATGACTCTAGAGGTTCCTTTGTTGGAAGCTTGGCCCCTAGCAGGTGGCCCTATATTGAGAGATTTGGGAGACTTCAGGTAGGGGTCACCAAGGGTAGGCCTTTGGAGGTTGTACCTGGCAGGTCCTCTCCTCACCCCCTGCTTTCTCTACACCTTGTGGTAAGAAGCTGTCAGACTACCTACTTTTGCGGTCCTAATGTTCTACCCAGTTCCATAAAAGACAAGCTGGCCCCGACCAAGTCTTCTGGCGCTGTGAGCCGGAATGGCCCCTCCCTCCCTGAAGTCAGTATCTCAGGTATTTAGGTATAGCTATGCAAAGGTAACTCATGCAATACATTTAAACGGTATCAAACATCCATCACTAAGATAGTTTAAAGAAAAACTCTAATAGAATACAATGGTTGCTGCCGCCGAGTTGACAGAATCTAGAGTCATTCTGGTGGACATCTGGGTGTGTGTAGCTGGAGGGCTTCTCTCCAGGTTCCCCAAGCCCCGCAGTCCCACAATCCACTTATAAAATAATCACTCAGACGCTTATATCACTTATAAACTGTATGGCCATGGCAGGCTTCTTGCTAACTGTTCTTATATCTTAAATTAACCCAATTTTATAAATCTATACCTTGCCACGTGGCTGGTGGCCTACCAGCGTCTTCACATGCTGCTTGTCCTGGTGGTGGCTGCAGTGTCTCTCCTCCTTCTTCCTGTTTCCCCAATTCTCCTCTCTCTTTGTCCCGCCTATACTTCCTGCCTGGTCACTGGCCATCAGAGTTTTATTTATATAGAGTGATATCCACAGCAGTGTGTCTGCGGGGGACTTTGACTGCATTAACTGGGGTGGGAAGACAGGCTCACTGTGGGCAGCCCCAGTCCCCAGCAAGCTGAGCACTAACGCGCATGCGTCACCACTCCCTAATCCACCACTGGTGGATAGACTGTCACTGTCACGAGCTCCCTCCAGCTGCTGCCTCGGTGACTCCCCCATGACGGACTATGCCTTAGACCTACAAGCCTGAATAAACCCTCCTTTTCTTAAGTCTCATAGATCTATCCCAACAACAAGAAAAGAAACTGAGATGTTCAGGGAAAGGATTAAAATAGAAAGTATGACTCCAAAATATAAATAGCATTCAAAAATCAGTGTGCAAAGCCTTAAAGTGCGTTTTGGAAGATAGTTGAATGTTTAGGTGTATGCCTCCGTGCTCGGCCATCATGCACAGTATCTGCATTCAGCCGAATAAAGCGAACTAAATTGTTGCTGCTAAATACATGTTATTTTCATGCAGGACCCTTCTCGGTTCTCAAACAAGAGAAAGTCATGTATAAGTTCCCTCTTATACATGTGGATGGTTTCTCTCTCTCTCTCTCTCTCTCTCTCTCTCTCTCTCTCTCTCTCTCTCTC